ATTGAAATTAGAAAATTTTGATACGAGAAAACACTTAGTTTACCCGAAACCCCCCTCCGATAATGCATAAGAACCCGTGTTTAAACGCTAGATTCTCGTGTTTCCATTTCCCTTTAAAAATGCGGAAATCGAATGATGACACGGCAAAAGACAAGGCTCCGATTCCTTCGGCTCATTTTCGAGGCCCCCGTATTCCCCCAGCTTTTTTAGGGCCTCGGGGCGATGGGGGGAAGGCTAAACAGCTGTTCCTCTAGGGGCCCACAGAACCGAAAAAATCTGTTCCATCCAACAGCGTTGTCAAATCGCGATTTATCGCAGGAATCACGGAATGTGCTGATATTTGTAAGTCCAAACATTTTTTAAAATGATTAAATCTGTTTGTACCTTAAGATATTGTATCTGTTGCTCCCTCTCCTAACTCTCGCTCACTCTCTTTCTCGCTCTCTCTCTTTCTCTTTCTCTCTCTCTATCTCTCTTTCTCTCTCTTTCTTTGTGGCTCTCTCTCTCTCTCTCCCCCTCTCCCTCTCCCTCTCTCCCCCCCTCTGTCTCTCACCCATACTTTCTCGACTGCTAAAAAATATGTTCCTTTTCGATATTAAAGATTAACTCAATTTCCGCCTATTTTCACGAGATACAAAATTCTTTGTTGAAAACTTTTTTCGCCCCTATTTCTGAGTTAACACAAAATTTTCCGTGATATTTGCTCTTGCTTTTTAATAAGGGGAAATTAGCTTGTGGTGTTTTATTTAATTGTATAGATCCTCTTTCCCCGCGTTCGTTTTACAAAATACACGTCACACAAATGTTCAGATCCGTCGAAAATTGGCCCAGCACATTTTGAATGTTTCGTAATTTCCCCGCGCGACTGCGTCCTGATGATCTGCAATCAATTTGAACCGGATATCCACGTTAAAACTTCGGATCGAGCTTCGGAAAAAATTCCGTTCGAAACCCTTTGTCGTTACCCTTGTTTCGTAAAAGTATTTAAATTAAATTTTAAAGCTGGTATCATGAATCATACGCCATGAAAAAACGGTGTTACACCTTCTGGTGTTTCCAATGTGCTTTCTCGACTGGTAATTGATCTTCGTGTCCCGGTTTGTTAGATATGGCCAGAATTTCCGAAAGTGCATAGTCCCAGGCATCCCAGTGATTATCACCACGACCGTTGGTAACAAAAATTAATGGTACAATTCTTCAAAAGTTTTATTGCATTACCACCTCTCCACCGATTAAAGAAAATCAGCTCATGCCAAAAAAACCTCGTTTCAAATTTTGGTTGAGGTAATTCCTTACCGGATTCGGTAATCCAGCGACGAACGTGCAATTCATAATTTTGTTCTTCTTTATCGCTTTCATAATTTTGGGCATTACTACATCAAATATGTGTTTCTAACCGTGCAAGCTTATTGTTACGGGATGCATATAACCTCTTTAAAACGTAAAGTGAGGACCTAAATTAAAAATTATGAAAATGTTTCCTATTTGGCACCAATATGAAAGGCTTGGAAGTTGCACACTGGTCGGTAATGATAGTTGTTAAGGCAATATCGCGATTTAACGTTTTGTTGACACAATAGGGTTGCATTCAAACCACCAAATTATATTTTGCATCTAAGAAAAAGTACAAAATATTGCAAAGAGTTTCAAATAAAATTTTTTTCGAAAAAGGGCTGTTGGCGTAAATAGACTTTCTATTGAAGTTAGTCGAAATATCATTTTATCGAAATGGCAGGTTTTCGCAAAATCATTTTGTCGGAGTTGCATTTTGTCGAAATTTCAGTGCGCTGAGATTCCAATTTACTATATGTTTGAGATCGGGCCATAGGACAATTTGAAATTGTAACAAAATGATTGTCGACGAAATAAAATTGACTTTAAATAGATTACGCCTAAATATTTTTTTAAGGTTTCTATGTTTCACCTAATTTCAACAAGGTAGCCATTTGGCGGGAAGTAATTCGTTTTTGCGTGGTATTTTCTTTGTGGGTATTTTGCGGTGCGCGAGTGACCCCTAGGTGGGGAGGCTGACCTGACAGATGGGAGAGGCAACTTTTGGGGAAGAGAGAGAGAGAGAGGGAGAGAGAGAGAGAGAGAGAGAGAGAGAGAGAAAGTGAGGAACAGCTGCCTTCAAAGCAGATATATCAGACTGGGGGGTCTATGGCCCTCTTTCCTGGTCCCACACACGCACATAGCGATATACACACAGACACACCTCCACCGCCAAACAATACGCTATTTTGTACACGCCTTAAATTTCGATTTTAAGCGCCATTGAAGTCTGAAAAATTTAGCCCGTTCCGCAAAGAATCCCTGCTAGCTGCCTCCTTGCTCTGATTTTTTCTGTTGTTTTTTTCTTGAGAAAATCGGTGACTCCAGCGTTAGTTTGAATTTTGAAGAAGACTTTCAGAGCATTTAACCATTTTCCCTAAATGTTTCGCACCTTCTATCCTTCCATTTACTTGACTTTTTTAAAAGCACCTTAGACGGTACACATAGGATAACGGGGGGGGGGGAAAAAATAACGGGGGGCACTCAAACTTTTTATATGATAAAAGTATTTTTAAATATGCTTTTTTCGGGCTGTAAAAAAAACTCTTAGTATATTTTTCGGTCCTCTATCGAATGGCATTTTCAAAATATCGAAAATATTCAAAACGCCGAAAAAATTTTTCCCCCCCTGTTATCCTATGTGCTGCCCATAGTTTTCAAAAATAGTTTTTAGGCTATAAAACTTTTATAATACATTTTTTCGCGTTGTAAAAAAATCTCTTAGTATATTTTTTGATGTTCTATCGATTCGCGTTTTCAAAATATCGAAAATCTCAAAAATTTGGCTTTCCCCCCCCGTTATCCTATGTGCTGCCCATGGATTTTGATCAATTTTTGTTTATTCGATAAAAAATTTCATTTACATTATTTCGGGCTGAAATTAATTTTCCTAGGGCAGTTTTCGACGCTTTATCGAATGACGTTTTCAAAATACCGAAAATGTCGAAAATGTCGAAAATTTGACTTTCCCCCCCTGTTATCCTATGTGCTGCCCATAGATTTTCCTCAATTTTTGTTTATTCAATAAAAAATTTCTATTACATTATTTCGGGCTGAAATTAATTCTCTTAGTATATTTTTCGACGCTCTATCGAATGGCACTCGCAAAATCCCAAAGTAATTGCAAATTTCATAATAATGAGTGCCCCCCCGTTATTTTATTCCCCCCCCCGCTATCCTATGTGTACCCCTTAGACTACAGATTAATAAGATAAGATGAAAGATTGATAGCTGTCGAATTTCTCGAAACACACCTCCTGCAATAGATATTTTTTTCAGATAAATCAAGCTTTTGCGTAATTTCACCGCCGCACAATGGGAAAAAGCACCGATGGGCAGGTAAGCCGCACATTTTTTTAAATGTTTTTTTTTTAGTTGGATGTGATATTGATTTTCTTCAGCTCTGATTAAAATCCTGTCTTTACTGATATGTAAACACGTTATTTCCCCATGATTGTTTAGTTGAATCGACATACTTAATTTAATTTAATTTGAATTTAGTTAATACTTGTGAAAGACGAAAGACATGACGGGACATTAATATTGTGCGGTCCTCCGGACTCATTTAAATCTGTGAAATATCTTTTGCAAAAAAATTTGCTATCAGATTTCTACATTAAATCGCTGTTAGTTTTTGTTTTGTGTTTCATTAAATGCGATTTTTCCCAAATTACCTCGCTAAATGAAACATAATTTCTGAGACATTTTTAAAACAATATTTCTATGAATTTCAGTAGTTATTTAAGTACGGTTATTGCTACTTTCCCATTGATGTTTAATTTCTCGATTTTTACAGATTCTTGGAGTTGCTGAGGGAAGACTTGGCGAGAAGGTTATACTACGTACCTCGGTGCGGTCATCGATGCGAGATACCTTCACAAAGATTCGGAATTCATTAAAGTGAGTTGCATAAGACTAAGTACCGTATTACCGGCATGTTTCAAAATTATTCCTTAGCCAAAATGATCAAATAGCTGACACTGCCCTGATGAAAACTGGCCATATTTTCCATTAGCGATTACACTGAAAAGAGTGTTTCGGAAACCTAAGGGATTAATTTAAGCCTTGGTAGTGGAATACCAAGTCTGTTGCGGGCGTACCTATTTGTGCCTTTTTTAAAAGAAACGGCAAGGCATGAATACGGATTTTGTGGCTGTGGATTCCCAGGGATTCTGTTGCTCTCGTGATACGCAACACTGACCCACGATATTACGTTGCGTAATGGGTTAGAGCGATTTGACGGCGTCAAAGCAGAGTTAGCGTTGACTTCCTGTAAAAATGCCGACAATCCGAAAGACCGAGTGACAACCAAATTCCCGATTTTCTTAACGATAGTTAAAATGCGATACGGTCTAAGCAGCTATTTTGCAGGCCGAGATTTTGGATGTCGATAATTTTGGCGGTGTCGGGGTTTGCTGTTCGGGATTTTTAACCTTCAAAAAGCCGTCGTTGGCGTAACGATTCATAAATCGGGAATGGCGATAGTTTCTACCTTTAATTTAATACCTTTTCCATTTCCAGAAAAAGCACAAACGACTCGCCACGCGCCGAACTGAAAACACATGTGATTCGAGTGCTTGGGAGGGAAAGAAGCGCCTCAACGGCTTCTTCTTCCGCTTCATCGGCAATTCCCGTCTCACATTCCAGTAGCGGCACAAGTCTTCAGGTCTACGTTGATGGGAGACCCACTACGGTCGGTTTTCAAGAAACATTCAGAATTCTCGCCCTAAAAGGATTTGATTAAAACCGACGAACTTTCCTAGACTTTGAATTTTTTTTGAAACACGACTTTTTCTGGTCCTCATCTATCCATATTTTCAGCAAATTTAACTCAGTTCGTTTCAAAATACCTTTATTCAAAAATAACGTCTAAAGCTTTATAAATTTGGCGTTATTTATGGTATACTACGGTAATCTTTAAAAACAGACCACATTATCTGCCAGATAGGATGCATTATGTTCCAGCAATTTCCCTCGAGTTGGAACTTTTTCGAAACACCGATTTTTTTGCAAAACCTGATGGAGCGGTATTTTGTTATCGGATCCTAACCTAAATCAGTTTAAGCCATAATTTAAAAGACTACTTAAATTAGTTAAATTAACGGCAAAGTAGGCAGAATTTTAGGCTCATCTGACCTTAGATCACAAGCAATAAATCGACCTTTTAATCAATATTATTAAATTCACAGGATACAGCGTCGTTTTAAAGGAACGGACAAGGCATAAAAAAGACACTCCCTATGGATTTTACAAACCTAGCAAATCCATATTCCCACCTTGTCAGCCCCTTTAAAGCGCTTGGATTGATTTAGAAAATTTGATATCACGACTTAATCTGTGACTTTGATTATATTTAGGCGTATAATTAGTTTTTTGGTCTAACAAGGAGTGCTTTTTTTAGTCATCAGCAAAACCTTACGAGACCTAGCTCATTCGATAGAGAATTCAATTCTGAACAAGCTACCGATGTTCATTTTTGCGGAATCTGTTTTTATAAAATTTTAAAACTGCACCCAAAAGCTTATCTTTTTGCTCGAAAGGCACGCACGGTAAGAGACGGTCACTAGTATTTTAATTTTATAAAATCAGGGATAGCCATTCCGCAAAAAAGGACAACGGATTCTTGCTCAGAACTAAATTCTCTATCGAATGAGGTAGGTCTCGTAAGGTTTTTACTACTCAAAAAAGTACTCGTTGTAAGCGAAAGTAGAAGAGTATATTGCGGCAAATCGACTTCCAATCGAATCTGGAATTTTTGAAGCACATCTTTTTTTCAGAGCTCCATCGAACGCGGGCACACGAGCTTGATCAACCTGCCGCGGCAGAGCAGTCTCAAATATCCAGGTATTTTGATTAAAATATACACATACCAATTACACAAAACTATAAATTCGATCAATCCTACTATCTATAAAAAATAGTGTCTGTGTGTGTGTGTCGATTTGCATGCAACTTCGGTCTGTATGTCCGGAGGATAACTCAATAGGGGATTAATTTTATGGTGCATGTGATACATCATTAGGCGTGTAATGGCTCTGCGATGACTGCACACTTTTCAAAATTATCAAAATAAACTATTTTCGATATTAAAAATAAGGTTTTCTAAAATTTTCGGAAACCCTCCTTGTTGGGAAACAATTAGCATGTGCCGGAAGTAGAAGAAGCCTATATAAAGGGATGGAAGGAAATCTTTTCATTTTTATCAGCTTGATTGAGGCGGAATTATGCAAAGTTTACAGTTTCATTTGTCCAAACGGGGCCAGGGTTGAAAAGTCGCGAAGCGGCTTTTCAACCCTGGTTTTAATTAATACGATTTTTTATGGGAGAAAAATGAGCATTACACTGCTTTTACACCTTTCAATTCCATTTTTCATAGAATTATAGATTTTAAGTAATTTTTAGCCCAATTCCGACAACCATTTCCGCAGCCAATTAACTATGTATAGCCGATAATTTTTAATTAGCTCTGTGCTTGGATCATATATTTTTTACTCAAATTCCACCCATTTAGGCAAATCAGCGTTGGGCAAGCAGCCGCTGAGCGCCGGTGAGCTTTCTTAAAGTCATTTACGTTAATTTCATTTATTGCTTATTTTAGAAATGTTTAATTTATGCCATTTTTTAAGGCCTTCTGGCCTTTCTAAAGGGCCATTGAAAGCAAGGCTTCCTATAGATAATCTGAAAATGGGAAAACAGCCTTTTTGATCGACCAGCCTTTGCCTATTAAAATATCAAAACATGTTTTGTAGCGAGCTTTAACTAAAACATATAAATTTAATCTACATTTTAACTATAATTTTTTATGTGAATACCCCTTGCTAAGAATTTTAAATCTAAGGGTTAAACGTGGTTCCATTTAGAAACATTTTAGCGTTTCAGAAAGGGAAGAAAAGATTCCTAATAAAGTTTAACAACATAAGTTCATTTTCTATTTCAGCGTCCCCGATCCAACAGCCCCGTTTCCCGATGTCGGTCTCCTTCTACGAGCCGTCGCTCGCCCAGGATTTTGACGATTTTCGGGATGAGCTCCGGGAGAATAAGGTGAGATTGATTAACGGGGATTACGGACCTATGGCCAATTATAACTAAAAAACCGTACCGGGCTGCGAGAATGCGTGAAACATCAAATTTCAAGAAGAAAAAAATTGTAGCTCCGGACTAATTTAACAAGTTCAAGACTTTTGATATCACCAGAGTCCGGTTAGCAGATAACTAAACACCTACCACACGATTGAAATTTTGGAGATGTGGACGTTTGTAGATGAGTAAGAATAGTTGACACACATTTGACGGACCATTAAATTATAAAAGCGGAGTTCGTCTTTGAAGAAAGATGAAACACGATTTTTTTAATTTGGAAGTCTTGGAATTAACAAGATAGTTGCAAGATCTATAAAGCTCACCAGGGGTCGGATAATTCCGGGAAATGCCGTATTTTGGGTGGAATTACATAAGTGAAAATCGCCAATGGGAAAAAATCTTTTTTTGCGGAATCATACCTTTGCCGTTTTTGCACGGAGATCGCGCGGAATAATGCCTTTTGCATAATTTAAAAACAGTTTCTAGCGTCTCAAAATGCATCTAAATTTTTGAGAGAATGTTTTCCAGGGGATACACTGAAAACGGACGAACCCATTATATTTCGGTAGCGGAGTTTGTGTTTGAAGCAACATGAAACATGATTTTTAACAAATTTTGGGAGACTTGCAATTAAAGGGGCTCCGAAATCTGGTCCACGGCCCCCTGCTGTGATTCCTGGCAAATAGCCAGATGCGGCCGCAACGCGACGCATGATCTTTTGCTCCTGTTTGGACGCGAAAACGCTTGAATTTTAAAATTCTCATACTATTTTTGGAATCCTCAACGAATTTTGATCATTCCAGACTTTTAAATTATGAAAATTGGCCAGAGAATCACCGAGATCGAGAGATTGGGTGCCTTACAAGGCATTACGACATGTAATCGTCGCCCACTCAAAATGTCGTTTTTGCCGCAAAAAGAATTCGGTTTTTCTAAAACATTTTACGTTTTTCGCAATCAAATCACTTTTCTGGCACTCCTCGGCAGTGACCCTTTCGTTTTTTGACCAGTAGGTTCAATCCCCGCGCACACGAATTTTGACTTCCGAGCCCCTTTAAAAAAAGCGTTTCAAGACTGCTATAGGCCATTACGGCTCGCTACTGGATTATTACTGAATTAATTCTATTAGCTAAATTGTGCTAAAATCAAAAAATGCTTGCGGATAAAAACGCACCCCTCCAGGGTTATAAAATTTTACAGAATTTAAGGACTTTTTCCTGCGTTCGCGAAATTCAAAGCATTGAAAGTAGTTGACGATGATAAATATTGATGAAACGTCAATAAAAACGAATGTTGAAGAATTTAGAGATTTACCAAAACCATATTTTGGCTCCGTACATCAATTGATCAATTAATCACTACGCATTGATATACACGAAGAATCACTGCTACGACTTCTGCTATGCAACATCATTTTTTAAAAATTTATTGATTCGTATTGACATATTTAATTAATTTAATCAACCTTTATTATTTTTAGTCTCGAAAAATCGGCCCCCGGATGCCCGTTGAGGTGAACTGGTTCAGCGGCTCGGCACCAGCGGTATGGTACAGAAATTGTGGAATTCTTATCAAACAACATTTTTTCTAATTTTTGCACTTTCAGATCCAAATTGACGTCGATGCACATCAACAAAAATGCTCTGAAGGTGTCCATATGTCGCCGGGAAGGTGGGTAGCATAGCAATTATACCGCATTAATATTATTAATTTGGACGTAAAATTAGTTATTATAATCCTTTTTAGTAAAATTTAATTATTTTTGGATCAAAACCATCTAGAAAATGAAAAAATTGCGACATGGTGCTTGAAAAACCGGTATGTTCAGCTTCTTATTTTCAGAAATTTCGACGAGCCGGATTCGGCATACGGCAGACCAGCAATGATTCGAATTCCACGAATGTACTCCAGCCAATCGTGTAAAAGCCTACGTGCGACACCAAGTCTCACCACGCTCAGGGTACGGTAATTTTTGACGTTTTAAAGGGCCTGCGGAGGAAGATTTGAGACCGTCTCTCCCCCCCTCTCTCTCTCTCTCTCTCTCTCTCTCTCTCCCTCTCTCAAGCTCTTTCCAACTCTCTCACTTTCAGGATTTCGACATGGGTAGCGGTGAATACGACGACCCATGCGAGTTCGACTGTAAATCAGTCGTCTCAACGGCTTCAACATCGAAGCTCAAGCGAAAATCGAGCTCGGCCCATATCCGCACGTTTCTTCGGAGTCCCGGTGGGTATCTTACCTTAAGGCTTGTTTGTGTAAGATTTGGCAATTCTACTAGAGAAGAATTTATCACCCTACTGATGCTCTTCGTCTTTCCAATGACTTAGGTTTTTTCGAAACATGTCTTCTTGTCGGGATTTTGGCTACGCCATTCGATAAAGCACCAAAAAAAAATACTAAGAGTTTTAATGAGAGCCCAAATAATGTAAGGTAAAAGCTATAGCGAAAAACTTTTGGAAATTGCCGGTGGGGACCGAAAAACCTCCGAAAAAACGCGTTTCATATCTTGAACCCCACTAGGCTTACCGATTTTGCTCAATTCCTGCGCGTGGTACTGCCCAAACTTTTATAGAAAAACGAACGAGTTTGTCGAAATGTCAAAAAGCATTGGTCAGCTACTAAACGAGTTGTGCAAAAAAAGATGTTTTGCCTAAATATTATATTTTTAAACCGCAAACGAGCAATAATATTTCTAGGCCATCATATAAAATTATTGTTTATTTTTATTTGAAATTTAATTTTTAGTTACAATTTAATTTTGTGTTATTAATTTTCTAATTATTTTAGTTTTTTAGTTTTTTTGATAGAATTCCTAAGCTAACAGTCCCCTTAAGAACTGCTCCAGGCTAGCTCGAAAAGCCAGTTTTTTTCTGCAATGGTTTTATAGAGATTAGTGGTGCGAGAATTCCGCGACTTTCCTCCCGAACGGCTAGCCTTTGCCCGGCCCCCCTTTTTTGATCGTTCCCGCTGATAGGAGCGCCCCGTTTTCGCGCGGATTTATGCCCGGCGCGGCATCTTTTGAGGTTTGGCACCGCGCGCGCCGCGTGCGACCGCAAAAAGCACATTTTTTGCGTGGGATCGTGAACGGCGCCTGGGAACGCCAAATCTCCTTATTATTCCTTTTCTACATTCTATTTTCTGAGCTCTAATAATTATAAATAATGACAAACTCGATATTCCGCCTCGATTCTAAAATACGACCGAGCTACCGTAACCCTGGCCGTTGAATTCTAATATTTTTTGGAATTATGAATTGCTGTCTAAATCCGGTGGCGAGGCGCTTCAGAAAAATTTGTAAGTTTTTTAACTTTCCTAAATCGAAAATTAAAATTTATTTTATTTGTTTGTCGTTATTTTGCAGTCACACGCAGAGGTCCATTAATTATTTTTCTTTGACGCACCTTATAGAATTTGTAGAAACATGCAAATTTTAAAAATTTTGATACGCCCTCTAAAGAGTCTATGAAATCGATATTTTGCCTCGATTCTAAATTACGACCTGGCTACCGTAAACATGAAGGTTCAATTTTTATATATATGTTTGGGTATTATGAATCGCTGTTTAAATCCGGTGGCGAGGCGCTTCAGAAGAATTTGTGAGTTACAGATTTTTTGGTACTTTTTTATTTTCAAAGCTGGACTAGACAAAATAATTTTTTTTGTTCGAACCCGTTCTAGAAAATTTCTTGAAACACAACCTTTTTACAATGAGTTTCGAATTTTACGTGCACTTTGATGCCTTACACTTCATAAAATACAGTGTCGAGCTGAGATATATTAATTTTATTTTCTTAATCACGACCCGGTACCGAACCGTAACCCTGAAGCTTCAATTCTTAAATATTTTTTGGCTGTTAAGAATTGCTGTCTAAATCCGGTGAAGAGGCTGTGAGTTAAATATTTTCTTGGTATTTTGTTTTTTGGTTTCACTACGCTCGAGCCATTAATTGTTTTGCTTCCGCCCTCCCTAGATAATTTGTTGATACGTCAAATTTTCAAGCATTTGATTAAGCATCGTCCATAAATTTTATATTTTTCCCGCTATTATAAATTGCCGTCTAAAACCGGTGGCGAGGCGGCTTTTTCGGTACTTTTTCATTTTACAAGTGAGCATTTGAGTGAACATCTATCAAAATGTTTCTCTTTGGCCAGACCTCGCTAATTTGTTGAAACAAAACATTTTTAACAATGGATCAATTTTTTTTTTGAGTGAACCTTGAGATCAGTTGAACTTAATAGAATTGTCCAACCCCTTTCATATAATTTTTTGAAACACATAGGCTGTGAAAAATTCCATGAATCAACTAGACCATTTTTGGTGCGAAACCAAATATGTTTCAAAACTGCTTACACATCATGCGAATTCCCTAACTTTAGTGATATTCCACTTTTTTGGTGCTTTCTTGCTTAGGTCTTAAAAAATTCCAATGAATGATTGTAAAAAGCTGTAAATTGTAAAAGTCGGCCTTTAAAAACCTTTTTTTTCAAAATTATACGGGGATTTCGGTGATTGATAGAATTCAATAATTGATAGCGCTCATTTTCGAAACAAAATCAGAAAATTAGCAGCGAAAAACTCAAATTAGCGGATAAACCTGTAAAAATTGTTTTGAATTGCTCTCCCAAGGCCGTTTAATCGAACCCTTAGATGTCGAGCTTATCCTTGTTTACACCCCAGCGGCTGGTATGCTAATTGGGGCGTCAGTGGTGCTAAAGGGGCCGCTGGGCCGCCGATCGGAAATTGTCAAATGGGCCCCAAGAGGGCGCCAAAATCGGTGGCCCACCAAGCAGATGCAGATGGCGAAAATCGGAAATATTTATGCGAAATTAATAGATCAGAATGGAATTATTAGGACGTTCGGACGCGACCATCAGTACGGAAAACAGACGCGCTCCGGATTGGGAAAGGTGTGCAACACATATTTTTCAAAATTTGTCAAAAAAATTTTGTTTCATCCGTACTGCGTAACCTTCGGGTCGGCGCAGATATGCAAAACAATTTTTTCTTTTGTAAAATCATGCATTTTAAAATGTTTTGTAACCTGTTACGTAACAGAACAAATTTATAATTTTAGTCCTTTCCAACGTCTTAGGAGTCAAATTGGGATAGCTGGAACTGACAAGTCAAGAATTTATAGTACGTCGGAGTAAAATTATCATCTTAGGGCTCAATAAGAATTGCACCATATTTTTTCAAGCGTTTCTTAATCGTTTTAAAACCACTTATTAAAAGCTATGTTACTTTTTTGACTCGCGCTGCAAAGTCACCTGAAGAAATTACTCAATTGAACACGCTATTTAATTTGAATGTTTTAATGTTTAGCAGAACGGTTTCTGAAAAAAATATTGTTAATTGACTCCCCCTTCGGATGCTCATTACTAAGTTTATATTTGCCATAACTTTTGGAATTTACTACATTTTTCTAGCGCAATTTAACGTGGCGTCTCAGAGATCCATAGAAACTTCGGAATTTTCGGACTACGGCATGCTTTTCTGCCAAATTTTTTCTTTACATTTCAAGCGCAAGAGATATTCACAAAATTGTATCCAATCTCTGCCTTGCCGGCCCCTTTAAAGTGGTCGCCTCCGGAAAAAGAGCTGTTTGATGGGATGAGGATGTAGTGGTGGGAAGGGAAGGCTTTTCGAGAGGTTTGAGTGGATGTCACCATCACTCTGTGTGTGTGTGTCTCTCTCTCTCTCTCTCTCTCTCTCTCGCTCTCTCTCGCTCTTTCTCTCTCTCTATTTATATTTGTCGAGAGAATTGTATGTTTGTCTGCCTGTATATCTCTGCTGCCCACTCGATTTCCCTTCCCTCGACCATCTGCACATTTTGGCGCAGCCAGGACCCAAAAGATGCGAAAAGAGCGATGAATTGGCTATTAATATCAGACCTATAAATTATAAATAAGATTAAATATAGTTTAATAAATTGTAAGCATATCAATTATGCGTTTGAAGGTCGAGGAATTCAATTAGAAGTCAACAGTCCGTTAAGCTTGTCGGCTTTCCACTTTTCAAAAAAAAAATGGTTTGTGAAATTACAGTGATGGGTTGGAAGTGCTGTTTTCAATTGGCCTTTCTCTGAACCTCCGAATAAGTGAAAAAAGTACGGATGAATTAAATGCTTTTTTTTCGATTATGATAAAAAATTCGATTCCACAAAATAGCGACTTTTTAAAGGTCACAGGGGGTCCACACTGATCTTGAGAATCAAGTGTCGTACCTTTAGACAACTAAAATCGGGCATGATATTTTGAAAAAAATGTTGCAAAAAGTATTTTATATGACGTATCGGATGCCACGATATTTTCGAAACGTAAGCCTGATAACCTTTCAAAAACCTTTTTTAAAAAGAGGTTGTTTTTAAGATATGTTTCGCGAAATGACGGTTGTCTGACCGTCAATAGCGGAAATAATACCGCTTTGGTGGAATTGTAAAAGTTTTAATTTCCGGTACTTAAATAGACGGTTAAAAAATGATACCCTACTGGTTCCCGTCGATTTTAGATTTTCGCGCCTAGAAAAGCCCCTCAAAAACCCCGGAAAAGAAAAATCGCCGTTAAAAAAAGCATGTTTCGAAAAGTTTCAAAATTCCGCCATGCTGGGGTCGATATTAACTCTACCCAGGTTGTTTTACAAAACACCTGGGAACCAGCTAAATTCATTTTATGTCCAATTTTCTTCTACAAAAATGCCCCTCCCTGCCCTGGTCACCCCAGAAATCAGAATATTTACCTTCCGGATTTTCGCGTCGGGACCCCGTCGACAACTCTCCCCACTCCACTAAAGGATTAGTGAAGAAACATGAAGGGGAATGAAAGAACGAATTTCTAAAGGCGGCGGCAAATAAAATCTTGTATAAATCGAACGGTTCGTGCAGAAAAAAAAGTTTCAAAGAAATGTAGTCACCGAAAATCCAGAAGATTTTCGTTTCTGAAACCTTCGGTTGGGCGCGCATAAGTAGATGTTTCCGAAAAATTCCTAGATCCGGGATTTTTGAAAAGAAAATTGAAATTGTGACTAGCCTACAAAATCAAAATTCCAACGAAAATGAGCTCTTTAAAATACCGTATCGCCTAGCTCACCTAAAACCGCATTTTATGACCCATAAGAAAAATACGAGGTGAGAAATTAAAACGAGGCATTATCCAAGTCGCAAGTCCATAAAGAAAAATTGTGGAAACCTGTGCGTATTTATTTTCGACATTACCGTTTTTCAGGATGCTCAGGGTTGATGAAACAGATTTTTACCAAAAATATTAGAAACGGCTGTAGCACGCGGCCGTCAAACACCATT